CTCATCCTGTCCCTTTTGCCCTTCGTCCTCGCCCAGTCCTCTTCCGTCTCTGAACCCGCGTCTTCTCCCGTCACCACCCTCTACACCACTCTCTCGTCGTCGGGATCAGCGAGCAGCACTTCCATGTCCGCCTCACCCAGCAGCACGTCCTCGCCCATGGGCACCGGCTCGCAGAACGCGACATACTTGACCGGTTTATTGGCAGCGCTCGACGGTCTCAATCTTGGCGCGTTGGTGAACGCCACCAAGCAGATCAACGGAACCGATACCGGTAGTGAACTGTTGGCGGCCCTTAGCGAGAACGCGGAGAACAGGCAGTTGACGCTCTTTGCGCCAACCAACGAGGCTTGTAAGTGCCAGTGTCCATACTCAACATCAAAGAATGACGAACATGATACAGTCACTGGCGTTGCGTCGAACATTTCGTCCTCGCCATCGCTCCTGGCAAACGTGCTCTCTTACCACATCGTGTCTGGTAACTTCACAAACCTGACGCAGTCGTACCCGAACACGACTGTCGGGCGGACAATGCTGAGTGACATGAGCCTTGTACAGCTTGGCGGCAAGGACCAGGTCCTCGCATGGAGCAGAATGTCGAATGGGAACATCACCATCTTGAACCAGAAGTGCGTCTCTTCCCTGCGTGTTGCGCGGTATGTTCATGGTGGCTGACACTCCCCGATGTAGCACGGCGGTGTCGGTATCCCAGCAGACCCAGTACCAGAATATCCATATCAACGTTGTCGATGCGGTCATCGATGTTCCGGGGGATCTCCAGGCTGCCCTCGCCAGCAACAACCTGAGCTCCCTGAGTACTATCCTCAGCAGCGTGCAGGCTTCCAATGGGCAGGGCAGTTTGTTGAGCGTGAGTAGCAGCTTTCCTCCATGGCTACCGGGTATTGACGCGTTTCTGGCTTTTAGGTTCTGAACGACAACATGCAGGGCTTCTCGTTGTTTGCCCCGACAGATGCAGCTATCTCCGCTGTGCAGAGTCAACTGAGCTCGTCGGGCACCGACAGCTCTAGTCTCATGACTCTGTTGGGTAACCATGTAGGTCCATGCATACCTGTTTCCTGGTGTCCACCGACCTACTTTCTCTTCAGATCATCAACGGCACTGCTGCATACAGCCCGAACTTCATGGAACAAAACTACACGTCTGCAGCGGGCGAGCCTCTTGATGTCATGGCAAACAGCACGGGAGTTTTCGTGTTCAGCGGGAACGGGAGTATGATGGCCATGGCGAGCATGCTTTCGATAGGGCTACTGCATGTTGACCTCACGCGCTGTGCCATAGGTGACGAAGCCGGACGTGATTTTGCGTAACGGTGTGATGCATATAATCGACGCGGTGTTGCTGGACACAAACAGTGACAGCAATGCCGCGAGCTCTGCGTGCGTCATCTTCTTCTATTCCCCTCCTTCCGTCGCCTGATGTTGCTTGACCACAGGTACGCGTCCGCTACTTCCCAGGCTGCTCAGTCCACGACAGAGACGGGCCCTGTTGGTAGTACGCCCACTATGACTGCGTCTGGATCCTCTTCGTCTGGCTCCAGCAATGGCAATAGTGACGGTAGCAGCAGTGGAGCGGGCAAGTTGGAGGGCATGTTCGGCTCAATGTTCCTGGGTGCTGCGGGGGCGTTGGTTGGTTTATTGTAAAGAATTTGTAAGCAGTAAATGGGCTCGAGGAATGGATACTGGATGTTTCATAAGGGTAGAAGAGATCCAATCATAAGTATATGGGGCTCAAGGAAGTACCACGAGTAAGGAACATCACTAGGAGTACCAGCATGGAGAGGCCAAAAAGAGGGGTCCCGATTACAAGGTTCACTCTCTGGCGGGGAGTCGAACCCCGCTCTCCCGCGTGACAGGCGGGTGTACTATCCGATATACTACCAGAGATGCCATGAAAGCGAACAAAGTATATATCAGTTACAAGTAACGCTATGTGCCATGCCATCTCTGCCATCTCACTGCTTTTCACAGTCAGTCTCACAGCAAGCGTACCAGTGACTGAAACTGTATGTAACGTCCTGGCGCATGTTGGACGCCTCCCAACGCGGAATGGAAGCCCTTCACGTGTGTCCTCGAGGGGTCTCCTCGCCGATATCCTCATACCAAATCTGCGCAGAACTCGTCAATCCCGCCATTTCGTACGACCTCCATCCCATAATGGCATCACGCACCTCTGGCTTCTCCCTGATGAAGCGCTCCATGAGCTCCCTGCAGCGGGCGTCGTCAACGACCACGACTTCGACGCCATGTTGTTTGAGGAGGGCTTCGCCGCCGACGTAGTTGTGGTTTTCGCCGATGACAACGCGGGGGATGCGGTAGAGGAGGATGGCACCTGTGCACATTATGCAGGGGCTGTGTGTACGCGCGTTAGAGGTGGTGGGCGTAGAGGGTGGTGCGATGCGTACCTTAGGGTTGTGTACTATCCCGACGAGCCCGTTAGACTGGAAGTGGAAAGGTGTAGAGTACGCACGATAGTGGACCCGCGGTACACTGCCGCCTTGAGGCGCCCCGCGTTCTCGAGCGCGGAGATCTCGCCGTGCAGCGTTGCAGAGTCTTTCTGGACGCGCATGTTGCAGCCCTTGCCGAGGACTTTGGGGGTGTGCGCGGCGTGGTGGACGAGGCAGGAGCCGATGGGGATGCCGCCGGCGTCGTAGGAGCGCTTGGCGGCGAGGTAGGCGGTTTCGAGGCCTAGGGAGTCGGCTTCTGAGAGGGGGGGCATGGTGGAATGAGGGAGGGAGGGGGATGGTTATCGTTCGGAAGATATGAGACGGCGCAGAACGATCGTCCGTCCTGTTTTCTCAGGCTCCATGTTCAGTTCGTCCGATAATTCCGTGGCGGGTGGTCTGAGGGCATTGGATGGCTTGAGGGCATTGGAGAGAGAGCTGTCTGACGAGCGACGATATCGTGGAATCCCAAGTCGCGGTCGGCAGCGCGGTCTATATGGCGGCGCATCCTTGCAATATTGCTCTCTTTCGCTCAGCTCGTAAAAATGGATGTGGCTCAATACACTGCGCTCTTGATCTTTGCCTCGTACTTTGCCCTCATCCTAGTCCTGTTCTACATTATCCTTACGAGGAGCATCCGATGGAGGTCTATGGACTTAAGAGGATGGATATTCCTGGGGTTGACTGGAGCGTCATTTCTGCATACATGGTATTGTGAGTAATTACCTTGAGTTGAGCGGAAGATTGCTCATAATCTGGCAGACATGTTCCAGTTCATGTTTGTAAGTTTACAACACTCGCATCCCAATTCCGTAGTAAGAAATGGGTACCTCGACAGTGGAGCTTTGAGAACTATGAAGCGTCCTTGGGCTCCAGTCCAGAAGGACCCCTCAGTCTCACTCAAATTGCCAACTGGCTCGTGGATACGGCACTGTTCGAGCAAGCCTGGGCAGCAGCGTGCGCGGGGCCCTTCAATTGGTGGTGGAGCGAGCAACTGTGTCTATTCACAGCGGGAGCGTGGACCGTGTTCATCATTTCTGAAGGTGAACCTCGCGTACCGTTCGGCGTGTCTGGAGCGCTCAAGGCTGTACAGGGAGGCGCCGTTCGGTCAAGCACCTCTGGGCGTACATGCTACTTGGGCAACTGGTCGCCATATCGGTTGCCATGAACCTGCTGTATGTGGCTCTGCTCGCGTCTGAGGCGCCGGGGAAGGAGAAGAGCACGCGGCGGCTGTCTCCCGCCGTGTGGCTTAGCGTGCTCGGGTCGATGGTCGCCATTGGCCTGAGCCCGTATACCTCGGAGCAGACGTTCTTGCCGAACCTGCTCGTGATGCACGCGCTCCTAGTTCTTCCTCTCTTTGCTGCGCCCTCCGCGGACGCTGGTCCCTACTCGCTGGGCCCGCGGGCTCTATACTCCTTGAGCACAGTCCTCTCTCTTGCCCTGCGCATCCGGACAGGTGTCGCTGCCTACACGTCCCTTCCCGAGGGTACGCGCAACCCTCCTCTGTTCAGACAGGTGGCGTGGACTACCCTCCATTCCCACCCGGCGCAATCGTCGATCGGGTGGGACGTCGTCTGGACAAGCGTCTCGTTCCTGGCGTGGCAACTGATTGTGGAGGACAGGGCGAGTGCGCTCGCGGACAAGATGGTGCTGGTTATGCAGACCGCGTTGTTCTCGGTGGGGGTTATGGCGCCGACTGTGTTGCGTAGAAGGGCACGGGATGGTGTAAAGAGGGATTAGGAGTGGCTTTCGGAGAGTCTGCGTTGGAGAAGCAGGTAAGTAGCATATGATCATACTTAAATCCGTTGTACCAGGACCGTCGTGCTGATGACCTGTATCGACAGCATATTCCTCAGGCCCACGAGCAATTGTATGGCTGATTTACCTCACTAATGTTCAGGAAATTCATCGCTACCTGAGATAATATGGGAGAGTTTTATGCTCACATTGTTGTCGTACCTGAGGTATGTGTCGCGCATAGTGCTTGCGTTTGCAGCACCATTCGTCCGAGTCTGCCTACCGTGAGTTGTCATTGTCACTGCAGATCATGATGCTGCAGACTACACTAGGAATCTGGAAGATATTGCTGCCAGGCTCACCAACATATGTCATGCAGCAGAAGCCTCCTGAGAGGTTCTCTCAGGAATATAGACATTGTGACAGGTCAAGCATGCCCTGGTGAGCATTGGACTGGCACTACCTAGGCTTGTAACCACCCTGTTGTACAACCATTGTGGCAAAATGTTGGAAGATTTTGCCCCAATGGCAGTAGACAGGATGGTTACAAGCCTAGGTGCTACCCCTTCACTGCTGCGTGACTGTTGGAAGCCTGAGCAGGCATTCTCACCTTTGATAGGAGCACAGTTTCTTGCTGAGAGATTGTAAGCTTGCTACCCATTGGATTGCTCTGATGACCAGGGGGATTGACGGTCCTTCACTGGGTGCCGTGAGGGCAGATGTCTGCTGAATGAAACAGAGAGTCTGCCTAATGCTCGCAACGGCGGAGGAGTGTGATGTATTTTCGAAGTCTCCTTCTACGTATGCTTCCATGGCTCAGCTGGTTAGAGCGCCGGTCTCATACCATGACCTCTGATTTAGAGGGTAATCCGGAGATCGCCAGTTCGATCCTGGCTGGGAGCATTATGACGTTGACATGGCAGTTTTTATCTATGTTCTTTTGATGATATCATGCCCCGCCGTTGCGATCACAGCGAGTATCTGCTGTCTCTTCAAAATCTGCGGCCTCGACGCCATCAGATCTGGTTCTCGTAGTGTTTAGGCGGTCATCGCGTCTGGAGCACCAATGCCCACTGGCCATCACAGTGGACGAGTCAGGACGACGAACCCTCCTACGCGGGAGAACGACTGCAGACTTACTTCCTTGTTTAACGTTGATCGCCGGTTGTTGGAGAGGGCAAGAGTGCGAGTGCCACTATGGACCAGTCCATAGGGTTCTGTGCGCTCGTTCCATGCGGGCGCGCTCGTTTGGACTGACAGGTTACTGGCGCCGACTGGCTTGATGCTGCAAAAACAGAGATTGCATCACTTGTTGCAACATTTCAGCATAGATGATACCTGACGTGTCTTGGGACCGATCTTGTTGACTTGAAACCGTGTACGCAAGGCACGCAGTACCGCGGCCCTGTAGCTATCAGACGGCCAGGGCTCTAGCTGCGTCCGTCTTTATCGAGTACTTGGCGACTGCGGGTGTCCTCTGCTGCTCCGGGCACCACAGCCAAAACTTCAGCTGCCTAGGCAGCTTTGGCATCCCGTGCTCAAGTTGTCGACTCCGTCAGTAGGGATAAGCTTTCCAGCAATTTATTTCGGGGACTTGCATTCGAGCCAACGCACCTGCTGATGACAGCCCCAACTGTTGGGTCAACATTCATTCTGTGCTAAAGGCCTTTGTTAGCGTGAAACGTTCTTTCTGGAGTTTCATGAGCGCATCTACGACAGTTACCCTGTTCCATAAGAACTCACATTTGGTGAAGGTATGTGGCGGACTGATACTACCTCAATGCCTTCTTGAATGCTAGCAGGAAGGGTTCGGCACTGGGTTCAGAATCCAAGCAGGTCTACGCCCGCTGCTCCTCCGTCTGGTCGGCAGACCGACGATGCTGACCATTTGCCCATGAGACACCTCTTCGCCGCGCATCCGGCCTTCAGCTGAGTGTACTCTCATGTATGCGCCATCGAGAAGGCAGCATCGACCTTTTGGTATCATAGAGAAGTTGATTCCGCCAGCCAGGTTGTCCAGGTCCATTCGGTTTCTAATGACCCTCCTTTTTGACAGTTCTGTCCTAGGTTCTCTCCAGGAGTGTTTCCTCGTCATTTGTTGTTCCTGTCTTTTACGAGTCAACGAATTGCGTGCGAAGTACTTGCAATGCGGCCTTGCCTTACCCTATCGCGACATAATCAAAGCTGTACTTGCTTCAGCGGAACCTGGTCTTCAGTGAGCGCACGGACTCACTCCTATTTCTGAAAGCCCAGTCCACATGTCTATTTCTGGATGTGAGTCCAAGCGCTGTCATCTCAAGTGCGACTTTGCGAATTGATACTCACGGTAAAATTGGAATTTCTCGGCGACGGAACGCCGACTGCACGAGACCGGAGATATTGCATGAGGATCTATTCCGGCTGCAAGGTGTAATAACATCGGCAAAGGAGACGCTGTGCTATGATACTCAGATAGAGATCACCACATGAGCGGGTGCTATCGTTTCCAAGATCTGGTGCTTAAGAATCAATTCTGTGATGGTAGGATGGTCCCATCCTGGGATCTTCAGTCTGCAGATCATTATTATCGTCCAAACTGTCTCAAGGGCGGATATTCCGATGAATTTTCCACTTACACTTATCTCCGATGACGAAACAGTTCCTGTGAAGCAAGCCGGGTTGCCCATATGCCGTGATGTCAAACGAGTTGCCAGTGATTGATTTTCCTAGAAAAACCTAGCAGATCCCCTCCTTTCGTCCCTCGTCAAGCATCCAATGAGCTATTCAGGTGTACGCAAAAGCTACAGTATTCGAGGTCGTTCAACCACAACGGGTGTCGTCGGACTTCGCTGAGGGTCACGGACGAAGTCGGCAACGCGATCACGTGGTCAACTCGAGAGAACTTGATGCCAAGTTACCCGGATGATCAGTAACCTGTCCACACCGCTGCGACCATCACTCTCCATCAGTAAACTCAAGATACGATCCCAAAGCTCATATATAACTATGGCCCTTGCAGATTATGATTCCGTACGTCCTGGCGACGGGCTCATCTTCGTTCTTCGTCGCACTTGTTTGGATTCTTCTCGAACTTTTCTCTCCTTGTAGGATGATTCACTCGTTTCTCACTCTCGCTCCTTTTTTGGTGGCTTCCGCGGCTGCGGCCAACGATTGGTCCAAACCTTGCACTGATGGGTCCTGCTATTACGACGTCAATGCCAATGGGACGGCTGGGCAAGCCTCCGGTACCTTGAAGATCGTGAGTGAACAGCGAAAGGGCTTCGTGCACGTACTCACGTCTCCGGCATGGCAGTGGGGTTCCTCGAATATGCTTTCGGATATCACGACCGCAGCCGGATGGCAAATATTGAACTGTGACCAGAACACGACCCAGCAGGACATACGGCTCGTCTGTATGAATGAGACTGCCAGTTGTAATCACCTTTTTCAAGATGGGGCCGAGAATACCCTCGTCCGTCTTCCCGAAAATGTATTGTCTTTCTACTGTGCCTCACGCTAGATGCTGAGTTGTACCGATACAGTGTGGTGCAAGTCCTTTCGCTCGCGTAGCAAAGGCATGGGTGTCTACCGACCAGTCAATGCCAGATCTTGTTAAGGCCAACCTTACCAGACGAGACGGAACGGTTCCTCAGGTGCAGGCGCTTACCCTTGACACCAGCTGGAGCAGCATTGATTCCTCGTCTGTATACTCTCCCGCTGTCCTCTCGCCGCCGTCAGGCTTACAGATATATAGGAAGGGCAATATCTCTTTCGCGATCATGGGTGCATCGTTCCCGGGTGTGACAGGTACTATCGATACTTCAAATCTCCCACCCCAACGGCGAAGTCGATTGACACAACGAGGGCTACTGGATGGCATTGTGGGCGGTACGTTCTCCATGTATCCAGTCCCAACAGATCTCTTGACATCCGAGTCGTCTGCAGCTCTCACGGGTAGCTTCAATCACACTACCGAGAAGACATCTCCGGTCACCGTGAACAAGGACTTGGACTTTCCTCCCATATCCGTGTCGTGCAACGGATTCTCAGCTTCCCTCAAAACGGACATTGACACCAACATTAACGCGAATGTCACGTATGGCATGACTCTGGCCGGGACGATCGTCCCGCCACATGTCAGCGAGTTCGTATTATTTTCCAGTGGGTATACTTCCCTCACTGTCCAGCGGTAACAGTACTAAAACAGGGCCGCTACAGATTTCGATGCGGATATTGCTGGTACCTTAAATGTCCAGGCAACCGCTGCGGTACGCACATCATATCCCGTACGGTTATGGCCCTGACCCTTTTCATCGAGATAGGGCACTCTTGACTCAGGGAAGATACCGCTTTTCCAGATAGGGCTCCCTGGCCTAGATATTCCGGGGTAAGCACTTATGATTGCGTCACTGCCGCTCAATGGTCCTTACGAAAGAAACAGGATCTTTACACTCGGCCCCTCCTTCGCAGTGAACGGCGAATTGACCGCACAAGCAGCAGTCGACCTGGATATGACAGTTGATCTCGCATACAATGTCAAAAATGGCCAGCTATTCTTTCCCAGTCCGCCCAGCGGCCAGAAGAATGGCGGTGCTGCGACTCCTCAAGACACCAGTGCGTTTCAGTAGACTTCTTTTATTCTACGGATCTGATGTTCTGTTGTCCCAGACTTGAAGCTTTCTGTTACTCCCGACGTTCAGGCCAATGTGTCGCTCACAGCTCATCTCATTCCTGAAGTACGATCACTCGTTCCCTCGATGCCAGTGTGCAATACGAGCTCACTCTTAGTGATGTAGCTTGACTTCGGCATCAACGTACTCTCTGGCCTTGCCTCAGCCACAGTCTTCCTGGACCTCGACGCTTATGCGACGCTGGGCATGCAACTGAACGCTCAAGGGAACGTCATCACTGTCAGCGGGTCTGGTAACTCCACCCAGACCAATACAACTGCCAGCATGACGTCCACCGCCACTACAAGTAATAGTAATCCTACTGTCAAGGTGACACTCGGGAAGAGCCAGACGGCCAGCACTACGGCGAAGAGCATCCAGAGTGGCAGTTCCAGCCAGAAGATTACCTCTGCCAGTTCCAGCAAAGAGACTAGAAGTACATCGCTCTCGGAGAAGAGCTCTGCGACGAGCAAGTCCGAAGGCGTGACATCGGTCGCGGAGACCGCGACCTCCGCTTCCGCTGGTATCGAAACTGCAACGTCGCACGCACCTGCAGACACCACGGCGATCAAGTCACCTACGGCTAAAGCCACCGTTGAGCCCACTGAAGCCTCTGGTTCCAGCAGTTCCTCTAAGAAGTCGTCAGGAAAACTTGTCGCTCGAGGGAACACCACCGCGAGTGGCAGCATTGACGGTTGCGTTACTGTTGACACGGGTCTGAAGGTAAACGCTGGCGCATCCGGCTCCTTCTTCGACTTCTTCAGCGCCTCGACCCAAGTTACGCTGTTCCAGGTGGATTTCCAACTGTTCAAGGTATGTCTTGACAAAATATTCTACATGACCGGTGCACTGATATGCTAGCAGAAATGCTTCGGAACTGCGACCCCAAGCCAGAAGAGGGCTCTGCCCGCAGGCTCTCCTTTCGGCAGGCGGGTGGATGGCAGCCGTCGTTCGCCCGGTTTATCTCCTATACGACGCGAGTCTTCCCTTCTGAACAAGCGGATATCTATCGTCTGCCCCGCGTTCCCCCCGACTTCTCCTCTTAACATCGTCAACGACGTAATCCAAGCAGCTAGGTTCGTACAAGTCCCCGTTCTGACTGGTTATATCTAACGATAAAATCTCTAGCCTGCATGCTATATGAACCTCTGGTTGAGGTTTTTGTTTAGTGACCTTGGCCTCTTCCTCTTTCATTTTACCCTAACTTATTACCTATGAACGGACTGCTCCCACGGACATTGAATATCAAAGTGT